CTGTGAGCCAAAAGGTCTCACTATGAAGCTCAGGCTGGCTTTTAATGAAGAGAGTGGTCTGGGTCCTTTCTAGTTGCCTTATGGTTCCTCTTTCTGAATTACTTTTAATCGCTTTGCTCCTCTTTTTTAGAAATGTAATAATATGCAAATAATACTTTCACTTTAAATTAGCTGGAACTTAACTTGTTTTTCACACATCCCTAAATCATAAAGTAAAATCATTTAACATCAGGGGAAAACTAATTTGGTTTCCTTCTAAGATTACTCTTTCTTTTTTAGGGAAAAAGCAATCTTAATAATCAATTGATTATTAAGTCTTTCCAAAATACAAATTTTAAAAGATGTATATGTTTTTCAAAGAAGTTGAAATGAAATTCCTTCAGGCTAGGAATTAGTTTTTTTTTTTTCAATTTTGCAAGAATGTATTTCTTCAAAATATAGAGGAGACAAAACAGATTATAGAAATTTGTTGAGAAAGCATAAGAATCAGCCTTTAGGGTGCCATTGGAGACTCTTGCTTGATTGATGTCACTTTGAAATTGGCACGAGGCTGGGATGGAGTTGGGGTTGAAAGGAGTGATGTTGGGCCCAGAGCAGTTTCCCAACCTGCCTGCCACTATTGCCATTGCTTTTTCTTGATGACAAAATGGCCATAAAAGGGAGAGGGGTTATCCTACATGGTTGACCTCCAGATGGGGTAGTTTATGAGTTGGTTCCTTTTATAGCACCCACAGGCTGAGAAACCTGCTCCCCTTCAGTGTACCCCAGAGGCAACTCTAAGTCAGGCTGACTTAAGGGCAACAGGATATGATGTCATAAGAAATTATTGTCAGTCTGCTTTAAAAGAGTTTCATCTTATCAGGCAGTGAGACACATAAGGAATTGTTAACAGAAATAAAGCAGCTGTGGGTGGTTGGTCTGTGGTCAGATTTTTTGGTCTACGTGAATTTCCCCTCTTCCTCCTAGAGCTTTTAGTAGTTTACATTTTTCCCCAGAGCACTTTGGTTACAATTCAACTTTCATCTCAAAAGCAGAAACAGTAGGCGGCAGTGGCCTGTGATCCTAGTTACTCAGGAGGCAGACATCAGGAGGATCATGATTTGAAGCCAGCCTGGGCAAATAGTTCTTGAGACCCTATCTTGAAAATACCCACCACAGAAAAGGGCTGGTGGAGTGGCTCAAGGTATAGGCCCTGAGTTCAAGCCCCAGTACCACAAAAAAAACAAAATGCAGAAGCAATGCATATATATTGATATTTTATATTATAAGCAGAAGAATGTTTCATAGCCAAGTCGCACATCTCCATTTTATACAGAAGAAAATGGAAGCCAGGAAGACTGAGTGCTTGGCTAATACCTCACAGATAGTGAGAAATATGGTTCCCTATTGTACATAGGCAGGTAGCCATTGCCCAGTACCTCAGTTAATCCTCACAAGGCAGGCATTAAAGAACCAGCCACATATCCCATTTATTGAGCCTTTCTCTGTGGTAAGCATTTTAATGCATTATCTCCAAGCACTGCATCAACCCTGTAATGTTGATATAATTATCTCTGTTTTATAGATGACAGAACTAAGGGCAGAAGTCTTGCCCAAGGCCACTTTTAAACAGAAAGTAAGCAAGGAGTTCTCCTCGAGAGCTATCTTTCTCATCCAAGTTTGTGCTCTTTTCACTCTGTAAGAGGATTTCAAATTACAGATCATGATGGTGATAGTGAACTCAGTTTGGTGGGCTTATTAGCATTTAAGAATAAAAAGAATGAGAAGGGATACCATAATTTAAAAATAGAGTGTGTTGGGACTGAAGGTGTGGTTCAGAGCCAGAGCACTTGCTTAGTATGTGCAAGGGTCTGGGTTCAATCCCCAACTCCCATAGAATAAATAAATATAATAATTAATAATAATAGAATGTATCACATATGTTTCAATATAACTGAACAGAAGTTTTGTGTGTCAGCATGCATATGAAGCCGTGTAACTGTACTTCTTATGGGCTGCGGCCAGATTTTGAAAGCCACTATGCTGCAACACAGCTGATCTGTCTACACCCTAACAGAACACTGGCGTCCAGGGCAGCTCCCTCACTGCAGGCTTTTTCTGTAGTGATACATGCCCAATAGCGCTGACGTCTCCCATCAAACCTGATTGAAAGTCTCCTTCTGCCTCCACTACAGCTGTCTGACACCTGGCACCAGGAACACAGATTGACACAACTGAGTCTGTGCCAAGGCATTTCCACAAGACCAAGGGGGCATCTCATGCATGACAAGGCCTATCAATTAGATACGTTATCATCCAGTGTAAAGGTGACAAAGTCCACAACTACACCTTGAGTCACTGTACTTTTCCATCATTGTGTGTGGGAAACAAGAGACTCTACGGTCTAGCCCACCCCACAAACAATAGGTCAGTAGAGTCCCAAAGAGAGAAAGGTTTGTTAATAGCAGTGAAAGCCCTCTTTATGAAAACCCTGTATTACCTGTTAAGGATCCAAAGATGGGTTTGACTGCAATTCAAAGATTGGGGGGTAATTTAGGCATAGGAACATCATAGGTGCCGAACTGGAGAGAGATACAATGCAGTCTTAACTGTCAAGTTAATCAGTTCAATTTTTTTGTTATGTTTAGTTTTTAAGACAAGGTCACCCAGGCCTGTTTGGAACTTACCATGTATCACATGGCTGGCCTCAAACTAGAATTCACCATCCTCCTGCCTCAGCCTCCTGAATGTTGGGACTACAGGTGCTTACCACCACACCCAGCTTACAAGAAGGTTTTTTTTTTTTTGAAGTTGTGGTGTTAGGAATCAAACCCAGGCTCTTGTGCTTGCTATGCAAGTGCTCTACCACTGAGCTGTATCTCACACCAATAGAAACTGAAGAATGAGCTTTGACAGTGTGGTGAAAACAACTAGATTGGTTTAGATTTGAATCCTGGGACTAGTAGCTACTTCCATATGCTGACTCCTGGCAAGTATTTTCTAGTTCTTCATATATTATATATATAATAGAGGGAACTAAACTTTTAAAAGAAATATATATGAACTTGGAACACAAGACTGATATTTTATTTTAGAGCTAAATTGGCAAAACTAGTATTCCCAGGTATTTCTTTGTTAGCCTGCTTTCTAGATATGACACCAGATTTGGGAAGATAATTTCCAAAACAGACTCAAGAGCCAAGTTTACTTTAGTCCATTGAACATTTTAAAATTCCTGCCTCTGTGCTCAGCATTGTGCATAAATAAAGAGACCTTACCTTGACCACTCTCTATTAGTCCAGGGAGATGTCTTTAGTTTCAGTGTCAACAACTAGCTGACCAGCCTGTCATTCTCACCTATTTTATAAGGAGACCTCCCATCTATTTGTCAGGCTAGGAAAAGCTCATGTTTCAACTTTCAGTTCTAATTTACAAGGAACCTTTGTGCTCACTCATTTGCAAGAGGGCCTTTTCTGAATCTATATCCCCTTTTGTGAAATGAGAAGTAACTCATGAAGTCAGAACCATAACTTGGCCTGTAAAGCTACAATGATGTTTCTATAGCATGTGATTAAAAATATTGAAAGAGATAAACAAACTGTGGCACATCCACAGTTAATTAAGGTTTATTAATAGCTAAACCTTAAATATTTTATTATATCATAAAAACTATTGCAGACAAAGAGTTTTTAAGAATTAGCTCCATAAGGATTGTTATTTGGTTTCTTTAATCAATCATTAATCTCTTTACTTTCATTAATCTCTTACATTATCTTTAGTCTGTTACACTCTCTGAATGGTTCCAGTGATAAGTATAGAGGAAAGTTTGAAATTTTTTTAAAAGATCATTCAATGAGAAACCTGAATGTAGCAATACAACTTCAAAGACTTAGGTCTTCATGTATGAAAAAATGTTTTATGAAGATAGACTTTAAAACTCACCCATTATTAATTTTAAAACAGCCAGAACACCGACATTCTAAGCACTTAAAATATGTCAAATGAACATGAATCTATGTTAGTAGTGACTTCTCAGAAATTAAATAGGCATGGCTCTTTTCCAGAATAACACTAGACATTTGCCAAAAAAAGGTAAGATTCAGCTTGCTCTCAAGAAAATGTAGTTTTAACCAAGTGTGGTGGTATACACCTGTAATTCCAGCACTCAGGAGGCTGAGGCATGAGGATTGGGAGGTTGAGACCAGCCTGGGCTACATAGTGAGATCCTGTCTCAAACAAACGAACAAACAAGCCTATTGTATATATATATATATATATTTTTTTTTTCTTTGTGGTACTGGGGTTTGAAGTCAGGACCTCACACTTGCTAGGCAGGCTATCAGTTGAGGCACACTGCCAGCCTATCATTTTAATAATAAGGTGAATTTCTATGACATTGATAGCAAGGAGAGTACCATAAAATGCTAACTATAAGGAACAAGTAGGTAATTAGCTAGTGCTTGAGAGCCTCCTGGCTGCCAGGCACTCTGTAACGCATTTATATACACTTTCATTTAATCCTTTCCACAGCTTGATGGTGTAGAGAGTGTCACAGGGCCCATGTTCTAAGTGTAGTTAAGGGAGTTTGCTCAAGATCTCACACTGGCCAGTGGGAAACTGGCTCCCCACAACCAGATGGCTTCAGCAAACTGAACTGGGGATGGCTCTTCCATACACCTAGAGATTGGGCTGCCAGAGAAGGCAGAGGGATAGGCCACACTTCAGCCCACCAGTCCTTGGCAGCTGACCCAGGCCATTACACCTCTACCTCCCTGAATTCAGTGACTAGCTGGGGACTGGTGGGACACCTGCTTTTGAGAATGAGGTTTGACATTCTTAAAGGCATCCTAAAGGGAGAATTGTAAGAGTGGCTGGGGAAAACCCAAGAAAGAGAGCAGTGCGAGAAGCCGGCCATGTTGTTCATGTAGACAAACCCAAACCAAACCCAGACACGAGGAAAGAAAAATAGAGATGAAGAGGCCCCTGAGTGTAAAACCTTACCAAAATCTCTTTCACTTCAGAATGAAGAAAGACTTAAAAGGAGTCACAATGGGGGGAACCCTGAGCTGGAGCAGCCTGAGAGAGAAGCCCTCTCCCCCAGCAGGTAAGACACCAGATCCCTGGGGGCGGGTGCCAGGGTCCTCTTGCAGATCCATGGGGAGTGGGTTCTCTGTTTTAAATGACACCCTTCTTTCCCAGATGAAAGGCACAGTACTTACTCTATATAGTAACGTTCATTATGTACCTGAGGACAAAATGCAAGCATCTCACAAAAGCAAAAGGCAAAAGAACCAAGCTGGACATCCTACAAATCAAACTTCCAGGGATACAGTGTTTTTGAAAAGGGACTATCAAGAGAATCTGAAATGTAAACTCGTGTTGATATTGACCTAATTGTTGGCTTAAACATTTTCAAAGGCTCTTAGGTCCCCAAAGACACAACTCACACAAATGTAATGCTATTTTTGGTCTACAGGAAGGTATTTGCATACACGTGAAAGTTATGCTGTTCAGAGAGCCTAAATTGGGGAAGCTAAGACCCAAAGCATAAAGGGGAATTCACTTAAAAAAAAACCCTATTTTATACTTAAAATCCCCATCATAACCCCTATTCTAGGGGTGGTCACATTACTTATTAATACTCTCACCATTGACTTGTGAGCTATGTATTTATTTTGGCAGTACTGAGGATTGAACTCAGGGCCTTACATTTGCTAGGCAGGCACTCTACTACTTCAGCCACTCTGCCAGCCCTGTGAGCTGCTTTTGAGAATGATTGGCACTTGCTTAGCAGGCCTTCAAAAAATCCCTCAGAAAGAATAAACTTAGGCGCTTGCTCTTTGATTAAGGCTACTTGTTGATTTAGATGACTTCGTATTCATTCACCATCTAAAAAATTCAAGCAAACAGATATGGGCTCTTCTGTTATTAAAGTGTGTCCTTGAGTCACAGTGAATGGCCTCCAGCCCCTAGGGCACTGAGCATTTCTGAAAGTGAGAGTTTAGTGGGGTGTTCTCTAAAAGCACCACTTGCCAATGATGTGTTTTTCATTAGTAAAGTTCTGAGCTGCAGAACTTAGGTTACAGCTGGGAAAAAGCACAGAGAACAATTAATGGGTGTACAATAATATATGTGATTAAATATAGACTTGAGGAGGCATTTAATGGAAGCGCAAAGGTAGGGTTGGATTTCCAAGGTTTCAACAGGCATCCTATGTAACACGTGGATGAGATTTTCGATGGATACTGGTGGCAGTGTGAAAAGTCAAACTACAGGAGAGGAAAGAAAGGAAGATCACATAGAACCTTGAAAACCAGGTGGGAGAGTTTAGATTCCATGCTGAAGCAGTGTGGAGCCTTTGAGGTCTGGAGAAAGGGAACATCATATTGATTAAGGCTTGTCCTGCTGTAGAGTGCAGAATTGACTGGAAAGAACAGTCAGGAAGACATTTAACATTCCTGTCATTATCAAAGCAGAATAGACAGCCCTACAACCTGGAGTTCTCCAATTCTGTTCTCAGTACATATGGTGTTCAAATAAAATCCCCCAATATAGGTCAAATTAATCAATTCCTCCAAGTGCTCATCATTTTAGTCCCAACTGCAAACACCTATTGCAATTAGAAAGTCCTAATACATCTGAGTAATTCAGATGCTTCCAAGTTGTATAAAAAATATAGACACTCTACATACTATTCCAAGATTTGCCCAGGAAATCAAGAGAAAATAGGTAAGTGCGTAGTATGTGCAAATATACCAAATCAGACATACAGGCATTACTGACCATAAGAGACGAGGGTGAACTTCAAACCGCTAATTAACAAACCAAATAAAAGGAAAACATAACTTTGTCAAATGGTGTCTAAGACACTGTGGCTGCAGGCTCTTATTTCATTTCTTCCTGAACAAATTGTTAGGAAAGAATATCCCCTCACCTACTCATTTCAAAAGTCATTTAATAAACAGGCATCTTAGGTGGCTCCATAATGCAGAGGACATGACAGCCCTCTGTCCTGGGCACAGCAATATAACAGGAATAGGACTGTGTAGCCCACATCTGCTAACATCAAATGGGAGTTGATATGTAAAACATGGTGTCCACACAGGAGTTTAAATACAATTTGTTGACAATTTTTAAGTTGTTTATTGGAAATCATAGATGTTTAAAAACCCACTAATTGTTTTCCATACAAGGGCAAAACTCAAATAATATAAATATTTAACATATTGGTATAAAATTAATTAACCAAGAGGAGGTAAAAGGTTTTTGACAACAACAGTATGTACAGCCATCTTTCACTCAAGCAACCATCCAGGCCAATAGTTTATTTTCCCTTTGTTGACATTTTTTTTTTAAAGATAGCCCTACATTGGAGCACCAAATGGTTTTTCCTTCCTTTTTTAAAAGGTTAGAACACTTCTATTTACAAATATTCTTCTCAGTACTTTAATTCTGAAGGAATCATCTAGCAGTTTCCTTCTTATAAAAACAGGAAGTGCCTTCATATTTCCTTTAAATTCAAACCTGTTCCATTCTATTCTAAGCACGAATAAAAAAGATGAACACAGTTCCAGAGAGCTCTATCAACAAATAAATACCTTTCACAAAAATATTGCTGTAAACAAGATCATTTCAATGGCCAGAGAGTTAACTGATGTTTTCAAACAATGGCAGATTTTAACAGTCTCAAAGTGTAGATACACAGGGTATAGATAGCCCAAAGGCAAACAGTTATTAAAGAATCAACCAATAAAGATTAATTATAAACCTGCTTTGTCAAAATGTCCTTTGTTCTCTATAGTTTTAAAAATTGGTCAGAAATTTTAAACTGCATTGATCTAAAACCCTGAATCTACTCTAAAAGTGACTAAATGTTACTTAAAATGTTTGAAACTGTAGTCTTGACATTAGTTAAAAATACTAAATTACCTAAGCAATGTAAACAAGCTTCAAATTTCAAAATAGACAAAAATTAATAAAAGATTTCTGTAAACATTAAAAAAACTACCTGCTAAAAATTACAGATATCATCATCCAGTTGTATATACTGAGAAATCCTTCTTAGTTTTGTATGTTTTGGACATCATCTTAATAAATGAGACATCTGAGTTTTCTCTAACAGGTGCCTGTGGAGCCAAAGGTTTTATAATCAGTTCAACTATTTTTGCTGAAGTCACTATTTTGGCCTTTGGAGACTATGTAATGTCCCTAGCAATAAGTGAGAGGTTGTGGTTTGCATCACGGCCACATTTTGATTTGTAAAGTAAGTGTAACTTTTTTATTAGATCGCAGGCACAACTCTTCCATTACTGAAGATACGCAGCTTTACAAATGCTTTCAATCTCACTCTGGCAATTTTTACTTTTACTTTTACTTTGCTTTCAAGTTTGACATGTTTAAAAGATAAAAATTAGATAGTGACTTGAGCAAAGAATAGATTGTTTTAGATACTACAGCTTTGATTTAATACTCTAAATTTAAAACTCTGAGCTTGGACAAAACTGTGGTTTATGACGTTGGGAAGGGGTGGCCTAATTTTAGTAATGAGTACAATGATTTAAATACTAAGATTGTACAAATTATAGAGAAAAGAGGCTTTAAATGTTCTTTTTTGTGTGTGGTACAAGGAATCAAACCCTAGGTCTTGCTAGGCAAGCACTCTATCGCTCTGGGCTTTGCCCCAGCCCCATCTTTCCTTTCCTCCATCATCATATTCCATCATATTGTGCAAACAATACTCAGACAACTATCTTAAATAAGGACCAGTATTTCATATCTAAAACCAATTAAAAACTCATCAAATTAACAATAACTTCTCTCTAAAGAAGGGCCCTGTGGGCAACGAACTGCCTGTGTTTTGTGTCATTTTCTAAGATTATGGAGAAAGACACATACAGTACCAGTTAGGACAGAGTTAATGACTCTTTTTTTTTTTTCTTCAAATTTCACATTCAACTTTGAGAAAAAAATTCAGATATATTGTAAACGATGCCAAAACTATCCAGGTAAATAGCCACATTACTGTGACCATTAGTGATTCGTCTGTTTGTAATTGAAGTGCAGACAGTGTCCTGCATGCCCTCTTAAGAACAAGAGATTTTTACGGATTCTGTAGGTTGTTCTCTGTCAATGCTTCTCTCACCCACTACCTCCACTGAGTGCTCTTTAGCAAAAACAAGCTGAATACCTGTACTAAAGGAAAATTAATTTTTTCGACATGCTGTACTATACATTCAGTTGGTATTTCCCGAAAGCTGTTATCTGAACACTAAGGTTTCTCAATAATTTCTGCACACATCTCAAATACATATGTGGCACCAAATGAGAGCTTGAATTTTGCATTAGTTTTGTTTTCACTCATAATATAAACCTTTTAAAAATAAGAATTCCTCGAAATGAACTTAGGCCATGAATCCGATGTTACATTGAAAAGTGTCCATAATCAAAGAAATATTTTTGATAGGTTGGGCTTTCAGAACCTCTCTGTGTTTCACATTCATTTTACTTAGGGTATGGACAGACATTTAAAGGTTTTTCATGCAGATTTGGCTCAGTGACAGTGAAAACATCTCGACGTTCAAGTACTATCAGACAAATGCAGCCTTGCAAGGATATGTGTCCTTATAGGTCAATCTGCAAAGGAGAAGTATCTTAATGAACCTGCAGTATATTTGGCCAAAAAACCCCTTTGAAATACTTTTTACATTAGGATCTGTAGCATCCTTCCAAAGGTCCTGAAGATCTTGTATATGTCCATGAGATGTCATCATTTTTTCATAGATGCAGGGATGGTAAGGAGCTTTACCCTCCCCTGAAAAAAACACATGGTACTGTGGTACTATCCCCATTTTATTGGCACAGAGGCCCATGAACACATCATCTATATAAAGACTAGAATTCAGTGTCTGTGATGCCTCATGGACTTTGGCAGCTACGTCACTGGAGATGACATAGGCAGCACCAGCGGTATAGTCAGGGTAAGCTGGCCACTGGTACATTTCATAGGACACATAGTACTTGCTGCTTTTATCCCTAATGGGAGGGGCACCACGATGGACACGACCAATCCAAAAGTCTCGAACACCCATTTGTTCTAAGCCTTGAAGGTATTCAATAAGATTTGGCATGTGAATGAAAATGTCGTCGTCAGCAGTCATCAGGAATTTGGCATGTGGACAAAAGGTATTTGACCAGTTGAACTGCAGAAGTAATTTAAGAGTAAGGTTATAGAAAGAATCAACAAAGTCTTGCTGAATTATATCATTGTACTCCTGATCTTCCCGAACCAGTTTCTTCTGCAGTTCTTTTCCCTTGAGTGGATGAGGAGTACCTAAGGCAAACAGAGTTTTGATGTTGGCGTTAAGTTGAGACTGAACATACTTCTCATTGCCCCACGTGCTTCTAATGGCAGAACGTCGCTCATAGTTCTCAGGAGCAGTCTTTATAAACAGTAAAAGGAGGACATGTTGATCTTGACACTTCTCCTTGTGGTTAATCAAGTATGGGTAGTGAGCACCCTCTGTGTTGCGCTTAAGAGAAAGCGTATCATTCACAAAGTCATAGCTATTTATGAGGTATCTGTAAGAGAAGGACTTCATATGGCTTACAATGGGATTAGCAGTCGGTCCCCAAAACACCATGAAGCTTACTATGAAACAAGTAGCTAAAAATTGAAAAAACTGCCATCTTTTAACTCTTCTGCCACTAACCAGCATTCTCATGTGCATTTGGGTATGTTTTTATTTAGGATCAGTTTTAAATGGGCACTCGCTTTTTCAAGATCATAGAGTTTTGTATTTTGCAGAAGAGATATTTATCTTAATTCATTAGTCATTAAAGATGAAAAGGGATCTTCTTATTTCACACAATCTTTTCTTTTAATACCGTTTTCTCTGGGATTGCAAAAGAATGGAACACAATGTAGAACAAGAACGTTGGCACATCAAAATTCTTCCACCCTGGCATTCTTCATTGAGTTTGGTGTGTGGCCTCAAGCAGCTACTCTGTGTAGTTCTTTCTGTGGACACGAGCTGCCACCTATCAAAAGAGTAACAAGTGAATGGGTTACTGAGTTACCAAAAAGAAACAAATCACTCCTAATTCCTTCTAACCAAAGGTAACCTGACCAGTCCCCACAGAAAGTGATAAGGTAGTTAGTATTTAGCAGAGATGTACAGCTGTTTATTTTAATTTTTAGAGAAATATAAGGAAAGGGGAGAAAAGACACTGTCTTCCTCTTCAGAATACAAGCACCACTGTCTTCTCTCACTCTCAAGAAAAGAAAGTTCTTCAAATAGTTGTCATCTTGTGTAGTTACAGTTCAGATGTCACAAATGGGTATATTTGTGAATATATTGGCCCATGACTAGCCCCAGGACAAAGGTCTTGCTTTGTGCCCAGAGACCTATCTTCAAGGCCCCTGCCCCTTGACCTTGATATAAAGCTGGCTGCATACTGAACACCCCACAGAATGGGCTTACCTCTGGCTGTGATACATCTTCTAGCCCTTTGTGCTTTCACACTCTGCTGTGTTTCCCATCCCCCATGATCGCTCTTACTTAGGGTGATAACAAAAGAGGCTGGGCATATGACATGTTCAAAAGGACAGGAGATTAGCAAGCCTCACTAAGACCTTATCCAGAGCTAATCAACACAGGTAGCACTTTGTCCCCTATGGCATAGATTCTAAAACCAAAAGTACTACTTAGGAAGCCACAGGCAGCATTGGGCAGGGTGGAGTGGGGTGGGAGGAGGTAGGGTACAGAGAGCACTGCAAGTCTCATGATGAAACTCAGGTGCATGTGTGTGTGCATTCAAGGTTAAAGTTAAACACAGTGGCATGCCTGTCCATCAAAAAGCCAGACACTGCTCTAGGGTATAGGTCAGTATTAGCCATGTCCCCGTGGATAGGGCAGGCATCTCTGGGCGGGATGTTCTGGAGAAGGGTGAGAAAGCCAGGAGGAAACACCAGTTTCTGATGGTGGCATCCACCTAAACTTGGCAAAATCACTTTCATTCAGGGACCACTTCCTCTCAGGCCTCCCACAGTGCTCACTCAGGTGAAGATCTCCTCTGAAGGCCAAGAGCGGGACTTTGTCTCTGCCACAGTGCAGCTTGAAGGATGTGGAGGTTTAAAGGCAGTAACAGAGAATTCTTGTTTTGTTTTGTTTTGCTTGAGACAGGGTCTCGTAATGTAGCCAAGGCTGACCTCAAACTTCCTGCCTCAGCTTCTTGATTACTGGGATTACAAGTATGCACCACCTTAAGTGTGAAGCAAGCCAGGCTCAGAAAAACAAAGGTCACATGTTTTCTCTCATACATTGGAGATAGATCCAAAAGATAAACATATACACAAAAACAAGCATGATCATGTACAAACTCATATGTAGAACATGTTTGTAATAGTGGAACTACTCTATGGAGCTCAGGGAAAGAGAGAAAGGAAGAGAATGATAGAGTATCAGTAATATCATAAAACATAAGATGTGAAGGTGGAGAATATAAGCATGTGTATTGAAAGCTGTTGAAAAATGGGAGGTGGGAAGTAAAGGGGTAAGGGGGAGTAATGGAAGGGGTTGAATGGACCAAAGTAAAGTATATTCACAGCGGGGATACATTGAGACACCCCTTTGAACATCAACTTAAATATTAATAATGAAAACCAGGTCAGTAAAATAAGTACAGTGTGTGGGGGGGAGAATACTAGCAGGAGCGGGGAGTATGGAGAAGGGAGATTAAGATGACGGTATATGGCAGATGGACTTCATATAGCTATATGAAACAGAACTAAGAAACCTCTTGCAACTGCTTTAAGTGGAATGGGGAGGGAGTTGAGGGGGAGACGATGGGGGCAATGTAAGTAATGTACAATATAAGCCTTATCGAAAATGTCACTATGAATGCTCCCCCATAATGAATATATCCTAGTAAAAAAATGTATAAAAAAAAAAAAAACAGTGTCATAAACCAGCAGAGAATCCTTAATGTTAGGGTTTAAGACAGCCTGAGTGAGTAAGAATTCTAGGAAAATTCTCATTTGAAACCAACCTGCATTTCTACTCCAACAGACCCTGGAAAGGAACAAGAAGTATGTAATCTTTGCAATCTAGGAGATTACAGGTAAAACTGAGCAGCTGTGCTCAGGAAGCTTCAGTGCCAGCTTGCTGTACACATGTTCACAGCTGTTCACAAGCCAGCCCACAGGAGCGCCTGCCTCACCCAGCGTGCTCGTAGCCCAGCAGTGAGTCAGGGTCTGTGCTCAGCGGGTGTGCCTTGCTGCTCCTGCTAACGTTGCTCTGGAAGCTCAGCCTGGCTCTTAATATTCATTTATCTCTCCCTTCCCCCAGCCTGCCCCGCCCCGCAACAGTGTGCATATATTTACCTTATTTTCCTGTACTTTTTCAACTGTTTCATATGAACCTCAACGAGTCAAAATGTTGTCTGCAAAATGACAAAGAAGCTGTCCCAAAGCCAACAGCCCACACCATTTAATTCCATGCAGCATGTGAATTTCCAAAATATTTCTCCCACTCAGCAGCAATGTGAATTGTTTAGCCACCATTTACATATGTCCTGACCACTGAAGAGGAGATCTACTACACAGCTTCATTCTGATACCTCCAGGACGTTGAATTCCTCCCAAGGAAACAGGGTCACTAGGAGGCCTTTCTAGCACAAGAGAAAGCAAAAGTGTCGCGTCCATCTCTGCTTGCTAAGGAGTGTGAAGGATGCTGCTCCAGCTCTGGCTTGGCCCATGGAGACCACACACGACTGGCACTCACCCTTCAGTATCTGACCATGTCCTAGAGCTGCTTTCAAGTACACCCTGGCCTTCATATTCAGAGCACAGGGCAGGGCAGCAGGGAGAAGGCCACCAGCTGGGCAGAGCAGGTTGATTGGGTGGAAGAAAACTCGAGGCCTTCCAGGAAACAAAGCAGTAACAAGTGCAAAGCCAGCAGCCACCCAGGACAGAGTGCTGCTAGTGCAGCTTCCTTTGTGTGGCCACAGCATAGCTCAGTGGCCGATCAGTGGACTGGAAACTCAAGGGTCCCCCCATTGGGGCCACATTTATTGTGAAACTTTGGGCAGGCCTCACTTTTACTTTGCTGGCTTTCATAATTTCATCTGCCTATCAGAGGCGAATGTCAATGTAATATTACTAAAGGAAAATAAAAATGACAGATGACTCAAGAGTACACTAGAAACACGACCAAGAGTACAGGACAAAGAATTACTTAGAGGGAAATATGCAGAAATATGGAATACAACTTGGATTTGCTTCTATCTTGACTGGGAGAAAAGAACTGCTATCCTTACTATTCTCTTTTCTGATAAAAGTTCTCAGAAAAATAAAAACGGAAGTTGAATATGAGAAAAGAAGGTGATGGACAATACCTCAAATGCTTTCCAGTCTGGGAGCTGTGCCCCTCAGCTACTCAAAACAGTATTTCTTCACAAGGGAGTTATTTTGTTTGTCTTTTTGAGACAGGGTCTCACTATGTAACCCAGGCTGGTCTCGAACATGCAATCCTCCTGCCTCTGCCTCCTCAGTGCTGAGATTATAGGTGTGCAACACCATGCAAACTCCTTCAGAAAAAAACCTAGTGTTAGTATTTCTAGAAACTACAAGATTTCCTACAATAACCCCTGATTTTTTTTTCTACCTCACCCCAGCTTGTTGAGTCTACTTTTGTGATCCTGAAGTATTATGCAAAACCTGCTAAAATGCTGACGTTTTAATCAAAATGGGGAGGTCTCTATTGAACTTGAAGTTCAAGTTAAACACTCTCAGCCTCCAATGTTTCAATTAATCCTACAAGGATGTGAGTACTTACTGTGTGAGCCAGGCATAATGGATGAATATGAAGTGGTATTTTGTAGTTTTCAATCTCAAAGCATTTACAGTCTGTTTGAGATAACAGTCATCCTTCTCATGTAAAAATAGTTTCCACAGACAACAATGATAAGGTGCAAATGCCGTGTCAACTGTATTTTGGGCAATACCAGCTCCAGGCACAACAGAAGAGTCCCGAAGTTAGCAAGATGAGTGAAGGTTGCAGCAGGGCCAGGCTCCAGTGGATGCAGGATGAGTGGTCTGTGTTTTGGGGGAGAAAAGAAAGAATTGCAGGTGGCAGATATTTGAGAATGGGCCTATATTTGAAAACAGGAGCACCTTGAAAATCAGAGAGAGGAGCCTTAGTAGGTAGTGAGAGCAGCAGGTAGACAGGTGTTTCTGTTTTTGTTTGCAACTTCCTTATTCAGTATTGTTTAGTTGGAGCAAAAGAGATTAGGCCAACAGTGGGATTCCAAGATGAATGCAAAGTGCCTAGAGATTGGGACACCAGTTTATCAGGGCCTTGTGCCAGTGCAGGATGCAGTAAGGAAGGTAGAGTCCAGTGTGGTGGAAGTGCAGACAGAAGGAATATGTATTTATCTGTATTTGTTGCCATAACAAGGTACCTGTAACTGAGTACTTAAAAAGGAAAGAGGTGTGTTTAGCTCCCTGTTTTGGAGGCTGAAAGTCCAAGATTAAGCAACCCTCTCTGTTTGGGCTCCTTGATATAGTCAACCCCCTTGGCTGTATCACAACATGGCAGAGAAGTCGAAAAGAATAGTTATGAGCAGAAGGGCCAAGCATATGAAGTGGCCTTACCTTATAATAACCCACTCTCTAGAGAAATAACTCACTCCATGAGAACAGCACTGATCCCTCAGAGGGCACCTCCCCCACCAATTACCTAAACATCATGTACTAGTCTACACCTCTTAAAGATTCCATCACCTCTTAAAACTATCACATTAGGGACAAGACCTGCAGCACATGGACCTTTGGGGGACAAACCACATCCAAAGCAAACAGAAGGGTTAAAAAAAGATCCTTTTGGAGAGAGCTAAAGCAGCATAAATAGATAAATCACCTAGAATAGAGAAGAAACAAAGAGGAGGAATAAAACAAAATTTCAAACATTACTGACAGAGGAGGGAACACTGGTTATCTGAGTTAGGGAAGGTCTCAGACTTGGGTTGAGTTTGAAGTGTTGGAAACACAACAAGGTACTGACATCCAGCAGGGAACCTAAGACTAGACCTAGACAGGACTGAACGTCCAGGGGGACACTCTGAGCATGAAGAAGGCTGACTTCAAGAATATGCGTGAGCTCTCTAGAAGGAAAGATGAGCAGAAATATCTGGGAAAAAAATGAACTCAGGGAAAGGAGAAGAAAAGAAAGAGTGGATGAAAAAAGGAGCTATCTCAAAGGGATAGGTTATCAAAAAACTAAGAGGGCGTTAACCCAGGGTAGGGTGGGTAAGCAGCACAAAGAAACCCCTGTGATGGAGCTCTAAGTGGAGGAGACACATCTTGCCAACTAGTAAGAGCTGTATTGGGAGCTCCATGAGGGACTATAGATGGATCCAGCCCCACATGGTTAGGACTGGCACCTTCCACGAGAAGCAGCACTGAATCTCAGGCATGATGACTGAGTGATGTCAAATGGACAAAGCCAATGGACTTTAATTTCAAAATGTGCGTGCTTTTGTTTCTGTCTGTGGTTCTTGACCATCACTTCTGGCCATTGTGATAACACAGTAACATCTACTCTTCAGGGAAACTGTATTTCTGCATATTATTTAGTAGATAATACAACACACACAGGTCTAAGGAATACTGATTTGTGATCTAGATACTGTAGATACCATTTCATCTCCCACACACCCAAAGACAACTTATCAGCAAGAAAGTCATTTATGAGGCTTCACTTAGACCTGCATTTCCTCTGAGATCTTAAGTTCCAGAACACTCACTCTCTAGAACATTTGCTCCCCATCCACAACCTCTAAGTATTCTGTAGAAAGCTCTATTCCACCTCCTCCCAGTAATCTATCCTTTCTTTCTCACCATCTCCCTTGTCTCAAATGCGAAATAATCAACACTACCTTTGCCCTCTTATCTCTGGGTCCTGTCCTTCTCCCGGGATCTTTTCTTCTCTTGTCTTAAAACACCTGCAGGGCTGCTGAAGAAATGGACTCACCAAGAGGCAACATCACCACAGATAGCCCTACCTAGCTAGGTCACCATTCTCCTACCTGTTCTGAAACTTCTCCCTTGCTGGATCCCTTGAGCAGCTGTGCTAAATCTTCCCCTCCCACACCTGTCTCTTCATTGTGACCACTTCTCCTCCTGCCTGCTTCCAAAAGAAAGAAGGCAACAGATAGTTTTCACCTACCCTACTCATCCCCTCATGCTGCCTCTTCACAGTCACCAGATCACTCACATACTCCATTGGCAAACCACACTGTTCAGGGCCTGGACTGGGAGAAGAAAGGGAGACACTTATTTGGGGCACAGAATTTAAAGGGACACTGAAATGCTGTAGTCAATGTAATATTTTTAAAAAATGTTTTAAGGCTGGGGATGTAGCTCAGTGGTAGAGCACTTACCTAGCATGTACAGGCCCTGGATTTGATCCCCAGCACCAAAAAAAAAGAAATCACAATGAATAAAATATCAAAACTATAAATAGTGACAGGATGCCCTTCTATGTTTACTTATCCCTGTCTGCAGGACTCACTCTGATTGCTGTCCTGCTGATTGGAACCCAGTGAGCTGAGTAATGCTGACTTCCATCGGCATGTCTGCATTCATATATACATCAGAGATAAAGTACCAAAAAGAAGTAATTGTCTTTATTATATGCAAAGCACACTTTTACTCTTTTAAAAAAATGTTTGATATCTAAACTGCCTAAAGTAGTTGCATAAACCATTAAGGACATCCTGCAAATTTGCAAAACATAGACCTAGATGGAATCAAAGCTCTACTATAAAATGATCCTCTCTTATTGTAATTGTTGTCAAAACAAAAATAAATGCTGAAATTCTATTTAAGTAGGCAATATTTTTGAAGGAAATACTAATGGGTTAAAAGAACAAAACTAAGTAATTTGGCTATTCCATCCTAGTTCTAGTCTATTATTTGTCAGAGAAATTAAATATTGTAGTGAAACCTCCCCTGAATGGTAGAAAATAGAAACTGAATTGATAAAAATCACAGAAAATTGGACTGAACTAATGTCTTTACTTTTCAAATCAATTTAATGTTCAGAATATCCCCAGGACTCATCCAAATATTAATGATTGTTTTCAAAAGTGACATGTTTATAAAGGATGACTATAAACTAATAAAACTCCTCTGGTAAGTCAAGATTTTTTTAAGTCCTAATACTTTATACCATTTCCATTTGTACTTTGATTGCTTAAAGTCCCATGCAAGAGACATTTTTTTGGTTGCTGTTCAGGGATAACTCAAAGAAAGATAAAAATTTCTATAACACAACCCATTACCAATTGGTATTAATTGCCTATTCTATTTGCTCAAGAAAGAAGGGAGAAGCCTGAAATTTGAATCTGCAACTCACATTTTAAGTATAAATATTAGATAGCCTTTCATAGTATTCTTTAAATTCAAGTTGAATGTTTCTAATATAAGTTCTATTAAAATGGAAACATTTTACCCAGTAGCAGTCTTCAGTGTTTTTGTAGCTATGCCTTTAGCCACAAAACTTAGGCTTAGTCCATGGGAAAAATTTAGAAGCCATTTGGAATTATTGACCTTCCACCAAGAATAGAGTTAATTCTTGATAGAAAGTTAGTCCTAAGACTTTAAATTCCAATTCAGCTGGCATGGATACAAGGCACAGAGGGGAAATCTGAGTTACAAAACCTACCATCTAACTGTAAGATCTCCACTTATGTAAATTAAGGTATATGTTTCTTTATAAAATAAGCATGGGTGCAGATTTATATTTGTTGCTTACAAAAGAAATAAAGACAGAAATATCAAATTAATAAATAGGTGAAGGGCTGGTGGAGTGTTCAAGTGGTAGAGTGCCTGCCTAGAAAGCATGAAGCCCTGAATTCTAATCCCAGTACCAGCAACAAAAAGGGAGAGATAGAGGAAGGAAGGAAGGAAGGAAAGAAGGAGAAAGAAATAGGTGAAGGCAAACCCTAAGTCTTTGCTAAAGAGCCTGATGGTATGGGGTTATAGAGTACGTTCTATTGTAGCAGTGATATTACGTCACTAAAACTTCCCAGTAACCAGTTTGAAATAGAAAAGATGAAAATACAAAGTGGGTCTTTGTATTTTGTATTCTCAGTTTTTCCTAGTCTACTTAAGAAACACTTCTTTACCCACTCTAGCAACAGTTTCTAATATGGGTGTGTTTCCTGCACTCCAGGCTTTGTTCCTAGTACTTTACATACACAGAAACTCTTTAAGCTTAGCAACAACCTAGGAGATAAATGATCTCCCCATTTTTGCAGAAGAAACTGAGGCAGGCAGATGCCAGGCTAACCACTGAACCTCCATAAATTCCAGGCCCTCTGGAATTTATGAGCAGCTGATCAGTTCCCACCACTCCCCAGCTGTGCACTGCTCTTTCTCCTTCAGTGACTCTTTCCCACAGTTTCCGTGAGGATGAGAGAAAAGGAAGGAAAGTGGGGCAGGGCAGAGAGCAGCAACCATGAAGGCAAAAAATGTTCTGCCGTCTGAACTTGGAGACATTTATGATTTCCTATGTCTTGCATTTTGTCAATGTTTGTTCTCATTTTCTTTCCTAACGTAACCTTTTCTAACCCTCCATGGACTCAATTTTCTCTTTTTTTTTTTTTTTTTTTGTCCTAATAGGTCTAGACTCATGTGACCTCATGAGTCTATGTCCTTTGTACACAGTCTTTTCTTCAAAGGAGTCTAGGGCATCTAAGGACAGTGATCCAAAGTGGCAGAAGGAGGTTGGAGGAAGAGGTAGGGAGGAGGAAAGAAGAAGAGGGAAGGCAGTAAAGGAAAAGAAATTCAAGGAGGATGTGTAAAGCAAGTATTTGATGGACAAGTATTGGGTAAATTCAAAGCTGAGGCATCAGACCCACTGGGAATCACATCCCAGCCCTGGAAAGCTCTTATTCTTTTATTAAAAAGCTGTATCAAAATTTTTATCATGACTAAGGACAGGAAAAACTTAAAGATATATTTGAAGATGGTTCATAAAATGACAGGCAAAAAGTGAACATGATACACAGATATAAACAGTTATCCAGTGTAAGATTTAGTCCTGCCAGGCAGGAATCAAAAACACAAGTTGACATATCAGTAAGATATGTCAAGGGTGATTTTCCACCCTTTTCATGTTATATAAAACATGCTAAATATTGCCCTGCCTCTGCCACCCCACTAGGACTCTTCTCACACAAGTGACTGCTTTATCTGGGCCACTAGAAGACAACATTCATTCAAACTGTGATTTTTCAAACATTCTTGAGATTTCTTAGGATCCAGAGAAATGGACTAAGGTATATTTGAAATGTTGTATTCAGCTGGGAGAGGGGGAGACCATGGAAAATTCATGGATGAATCTGTTATCAGAAATTTAATTCCTCAACCAGGAGCACTGTGAGGGAAGGGCTGTCCTCTGAGATGAGGGATGGGGAGAATAGAATTGGGGATGGTTTTGTGGAAGAGGTGCCAAATGAGCAGGACCTAGTAATGGCTGGAATTCAAACTGAGTTTGGGGAGAAAAGGAGAAGGGAGTTCAGAAGGAAAGCGAGTAACAGGAAGCACTTAAGCTGGTGTCAAGGGTGGGGTGAAGGGACTGTGGAGAAAGACATTCCAAGAGAGACAAGACGATAGGCATTCTTGAAAGCAAACAAGAGAAAAGGCTATGATTAAGGTTTAGGGTACAAGGAAAAGATGGCAAAAGGAGATTAGAAAGGAGAGCTCAGGTCAAATTATGGTTAAAAAAAAGTGGTTATTCAGAAATACAGTGGTGGTAATGTGGTTTAGGCCTGTTGTTCAATGGTATTTTGTCTGTCTCATTATGGACATTGTACCTGGAAACAATATTTGACTGAGTGTACCACACAGAGAACGAAAAGTAAAAGACAGCCCTAAGGGCTGGGGATGTGGCTCAAGTGGGAGAGCACTTGTCTAGCATGCAAAAAACCCTAGGTTCAATCCCCAGTACTGGGGAAAAAATCCATTTTGTACCAGACAAGTTGGTACACAGCTATAACCTCCGCATTCAGGGCTGAATACGTAGTCTAGGCTACATACTGAGAACTTATCTCAAAAAACCCAAAAGTATATATGTTTGCCTTCACTGAGCATGTATGACAATAGAGTAGCTGCCGTTTATGAAATACCTGCCCTGTTCCAGGCATTATGCTGGGCAGCCCTGAAAGTAAGTCTCCACTTAATTAATTCAGCAAATACTATCTTATCACGTGCTGTGTGGGAGGCCAAAGTAGGATGCTGAGAAGGCTTCTGAGATGTTGCAGGTGTAGGTCCTCTACCAAAGGATCAACAGATGTTCTGCTGCACCCTAGACTCTGCACCTGATGAAGGCAGGAGAGTAGAAAGCAGAGAGTTTTGGAATGAAAAGAAGAAGTAGACTTCTATTCTGCCTCTTCCATTTCACTGCTTACATGCACCTGACTTGCTTCTAGGCCAGGTACCAGTGTTTTCTACTTGAGCTAATGTACTGACAAAGGGAGTCCACATCAGACATTACATGTGTGCTGATTTCCTTCCTTTAGAAATCATAAACCTGAGGTGAGGCCTTAATTATGAAGAACAAAGCCTGCACTGAGTCAACTTTTAGCGTATTTTGCTTAGAGCACTATCAGTTATAGAAAGAGTTGTGGGAAAAGAGAGAAAATATGAAATATTCGGTGGACTTAGATTATGTAACAAAATTTTGAACTTGACCTTTTGGGGGGTTTGTTGCCTGCAGACTTGTAGAACATTCTCTTCTTAGTAAACTGGCTTCTAGGGTTAAAGAATTCACTATGGAAGATAAGTTTTAATAAGAGACCAATCAAAGTCAGCTTCTGCATTTGTGGCATCAAAATGTAAAGTCACTTTTACTTACTCAAAGTTCACATCTTACTTGATCAAATTTCTTATCTTTAAATATGAAAATTCTTATATCCCCATATGTAAAATTAGTATGTAACAGAAGGAAGTATTTAGTTCTAGGTTTACACTCATCTGGCTACATCTTTGCTGGCAAAGGTCTGATGTCAAATGGCAGAGCTCTTTTAAGAATTTGCTTAGATCTGTTCCACAAAGCATACCTAAAAGTCCCCCAAACATAATGTATACTTCCTTACTTTCAGAAGAGACCACTGCCTTCTGACTTTCTCCTAGTTTCTTTCTCTGGTAATGTGTGTTCTGAAATGCAATGCAACTGGGCCTCAGAAAGAACTCAACACTTTACAGTTTGAAAGTCATCAAGTGCAATGATTCTAGCCAAAGTGACCCATTTTAAAAGATGACCCATTTTGAAACCCCTGAGTTATTATTCAAGCTGTTCTATATTTGAGAATTATAAAGCTATTTCCTTTTACTACAAATCTCACTGTCTGGATGACTTTAATAAAAAAGGAAGTTTGATTTTTTTTCACTTTAATGAACTACAATGTAGCTTTTTTTTCTTACTCAATAGAGCCTAAACTTTATTTTGAAAATTTATTCCCATCTTCTTTGTGGGCAAAGCCATTATAAGCATCTACACCACCTACTTGTCTTTCATCTGTCACTTCCTCAGGAAGAGCTTTGAGTTGGAGAACTTTCCCGGTTATAAATCCCTGTCACTAATCCTAATCTTAATGTGTCATAGTGGGCCCTTAAAAGGCTGATGGCTCAAGCTCAGTCAGTCTCATCTTTGGAGAGAGAGAGATGAAGGAAGGGAGAGGGAGCAGTTTAGGTATTTAATGGAAACCCTTCAGGTATTAAATTTATCCTGCTTGAAAGGCAAAGACTTGGTCCCCCAAAGCAGGTCTCACCTCTCTCCTGTGACAAGTAACAAAATCTACCATAAATTTCTTTAGAGAAAATTAAAACCTCAGCAGCTAATCACTAATCATACTTTCAGAGTTCAGGGTGGGATCTTTTCTGCGACAGGACTTCATAGTCTACCTTCAATCATCCTTTTCTGGGTCAATTTCAGCTTCTCAAGGCCTTCTCCCTTCCCCCATAGGGACCAGCAAGGCTTCCCAAAATAAAGGCGCAGAGGAACAAATCCAATTCTGATGGATACATATTCATTAGAGAGTTATCCTAAATATAAGCTACACGCCCCCACCAGTCACTCTGCGGTGACAACATTGGTGTCCTTTTAACATGATGCATAACCTATGAAAACCAACACTAGGAAAGAATACAGTGTAGCCAACGGTGAATCAAAGCTTGCTACTTTTACCTATACTGTATCTGAGCAAGCAAAAGACTGTCACATCAGGGCGCAAACTAAAACGTGGCAATGTCAAAAGAAACAGTAGGAGGAGGAGATGTTTGTTCCCCAGTTACCCTGTCTGCCCACTCCTGTTTCCATTTCCCCAGCCGGTAACTCGCCCATCTCGTCCCCAGTCTGCTAATTTCCCCATTTCCAACTCCACGCAGGCTTTCTGTCCCAATTCCGCGCTGCAGCCGGAGGGTGGCGGCAAGCTGGGGACCCCCGCCGGAAACCGAGGCGGTGGGCGCGGCGTCGGGCTGGCGGCTCCCGCGCTCGGGCTGGTCCCGGCCTCGCCGGAGCTCCCCGGGGAGGGAGCGGCCATCTGGCCCGGGCGGGGGTTGGCGGGGCGCGGAGAAACCGCCCGCACCGGACCTTCGGGGCCGGGAGAGTGCCGGCCGCACCCAGGCGGCGTCAGGGCCCGGGGTCTCGGCCTCTGGCAGCCCGCGCCGAGCGGCCGGAGCGAACAAAGGCGCTCGGAAGGGAACGCGCCCTTCTTCCCCGCCGCGCCTTCGGTCGCGGGGCAGCCCTGGCCGGCGCCGGGGACCAGGTGTCTGCTCCAGACGCACGTCCCCAGCCCGAGGGCGCATTCCACCCCGATGCCCCGGAGCCACCCGTGTGAACGAGTGCGCTTTCACCTTCGCGCCTTTCTTTCCCCTTTCCGCCCCAGGGAGACTCGTCCCGTGCAGAGTGGGCAGGGTACAGAGTGATCGGTCGTAGAGCGAGCGAGCGGCATGGCAAGGAGGTACGGCCGGGCCCCGCGGCACGCAGCCTCCTCATCCCGCAGCTCCTGCGGTGTCCAGTTGGTAGCACAAAGAAAGCCCATCCGAGGACTTGGGGCTTCTCCCGCCACGCGAGCGGGAACAGCTCCGCTTAGTGATCGGAAGGGACGGCGACCTTCCGGCGCACAGAGGGGCCTCGGCCCGCGTTAGGATGCGGTCCAGCCGAGCGCGTATTTTCATTCCACATGAAACAGCCGGCCTCGGGACACTTTTCGTCCAGACGCAGCATTTGTCAGCCTCGCGATCATCTGCTAGGTACACGTAACAGTTACTCATCTACGGTTTGTAAGTTTTGACTGAGTTGCAAGTCTCTGCTCGTCTTAGGTTTCGAGCATGAGTTCTAAGGGCAGTCTGGGTAAAAGGTCTTTTGTCACACACAGCGCTTAGGCGCAGAGCTTCTGGGGGCCTAAATAACAAAGGAAGGAAAGCCTGATTTACATCAAACTAGGACTGCACTGCAAAGGTCCGTTTCCAAAACCAACCCCTTTCCCCTTGGCCATCATCCCCAAAGGTTTTACCTTCAAACTCAGGGTAATTTCAAAGGGAGTTTAAAACAAAACTCACCAAGTTCAAGTCCAGCTCCTCTAACGTCCCAGTCGGAGGTCGGCTTTCCTCTCCGCTGCGGAGGGCGAGTCACTGGTCTCTAGGACAAAAGTTGGGGGCTTTAAATCCCGGGCGAGGAACCGGCAGCCCGCGCCCGCTCGGCTCGCGTCCCCGCCGGGAGCCGGCTGCAGCGGCCGAGTGGGGCGGGCCCAATCTGGGGACCCGGCCGGGGCGGGGGCGCCACCACCGGAGCTTCCCACGCCGCGCACAGCCTGCACCTCCAGGCGTCACTGCCAAAGCCCGGCCCCGCCAGCCCCTCGGCCACTACCCCGCCCTGTTTGTGAAGGTGATGAGCCCCGCCCGAGAGTGTTGGATGAAGATTCCAGGAAGCCATTCTCCCCCCCAAGTCCCCTCCCTCCGCCACCCTCTTCAGGTAATTGCGTTCCTTGACTCCGAGGACCAAGAAGGAACCAGAAGCCACATGAATGTCCTCTTTCACTTGTTTTCCCATGCATGTAACTAGACATTATCAGAAAAATATAGACGTCTACTGGAGGAAGGAGCAAGTAAAGAAATCCTTTATGCTTTTGGTTGCTTGTGTCCGAAATGTTCTAGGTTAATGAACAAAACATTACCGTTTAAGGGAGGTTGGATTTTGAGCAGCTCTGGAATTATCCATATTGCAGAATAGGACAGAAAACAAAAGATTAACCCAAATGCTATTGTAAAATAAAACCTTTGGGCTTGTTATGGTAAAAGGAATACAGGTAATGACTGCAAAGTAGTTTGCTGAATGGGTTTAAAACCGAGACCAGGGTCTCAGCGTGTAGCCCAGGCTGGTCTCCATCTCACCATCTTCCTGCCTCAGCCTCCTGAGTGCTGGGATTACAAGCATAATCACCATGTCTAGCTTGTATTTGATATTTAAACTAGCTTTTTAGGAAGTGTTGCAATTGTATTTCAAAAGACCTTCAGCATATTTTCAGTCATGAAATTCTTAAAAGGTACTACCCAGAAAGGGCATGGCTCAGAGACTATAGTGTTCTGAGCACATCAGACCACAGGCAGAAATATTCATATAATGTGACTCGGAGGGTAGTCTCTGAGTTCATGAACAAGCCCATTCACTATTAGCACAGGAACAGTCACATCCCTTCCCCACTAGAGTCCTGGCTATATTCTCTCACACATTCCTCTTCTGCTAGCCTATGAGTGTGCTGTATTCACAGGCAAATATGACTCCTGAGAGTCAATTATGACTCCATTCTTTTCCTGTCATTCCAAACTAGGTCCATGTGTCAGCATATGTGTGTTCCCAGTGCAGGAGCACACTAAAACTGTACCCACAAGAAACACAAACTAACCCAAAGTTGATACATTTAAAAACCATATATTCACCTCATCCTATATACAACTAGACTCGCCAGATAAATTATTTCAAAAGTAAGTTCTGAAATTGCTGAGATGTTGTGGGTCCATCTGGTGACGGAGAAAAAGATGAAAGATGGGGGAGGGTAAAATAGCCCAGAGACTTGCTTGGCACATGTACACACACAGACAGAGGGAACGTGTAAGGGAGGTCTCTTTGCTGTCCGACATTTCCTTGAGCAGACTGACTCTCTATGGCACCACAGAGAAAGGGGATGAGAAAGCAGGATTTGATGGGATAAGACCTGATTACTTTCACTGAGAGAAGGGCATGAAGACTTTGAGAGAGTTTGGAAACCAAGTTAGATAACTGTGATGACACTGACTTGGCCAGCATTCAGGAAGGACAGTGTCGGTGTGTTCTGTCTCCAAAAGGAGTTTGTGAGCAGTAAAGAAACCCCGGGATCCTGTGTATAAATGATTTTGAACCCCGCCATTACGTGCCTTGCAGAGCACTAGAGAACTCTGGAAAGTTCTAGAAAAAGAAAACTAACATTAAGGTGGTAAATTGAAAAGTGAGAGGAGTTGCCTTTTGCATGTTAGAATCAGAAGAGACAGATAAAGAAGAGATAGAATGAAGATTTAGGAGTGAGGACAAGAGAGTGGAGTAGTGAGCATCAGCTTAAGTTCTTTGTGGGAAAGAACACTAAACCTGGTATAAAAGAACTCATAAGACAGTTGAGCAGAGAAGAGGCCATTGTTACTGAAATCCTGAAAGGAACAGGCTTGATAACTGACTGACTTACTGACTAACACAATGAATTATGTGAACATTGCATGAGGCTCAACTTGTTCAGTTTAGTTAGTTCTTTCTGGATTCTGTTGGATCAGGCCTCGTTCAATAAATGGAGACATACCACAGGCTGTGTGTTCTGAAACTGGCCAGCATTCGTGGCTATTTAGAGACATGCTGGAAGTATCCTGACTTAGCTTCCCACACAGGATCCTAGCAAGTTTCCTGATTTCTCTGCATCCCAGAGTATTCTCTGCCTGCAGGGTGTGTGAAGACGGGGTGCAATCACAATGACAGGTAGAGTCCTATGCACAGTGACCAGGGCCATCCTAATATGCCAGGTGTACAGTCCACATCCTCTTGCCCATCACAGGCTGTGGAAAGCTTCTGTCACCTGTGTCACCTGCAAAGTGGCAGAGGTGGCTTCACGCTGTGTCCCAGCATCATTGCTGTGAAAGGATCTGCTGTGTTTCATCTCTGGGAATTCCATTTCCTCGCCTCTTAAACGATGCCCATCTCCCCATGCCTCCTGTCTACTGCTCCTGGACTCTCCCCTGCCCCCATGCCCTCCCTGTGGTCTTGTCTCCCACACTTGCTCCTTGGTGCCCCCCCTCATTGCCTTCCATCCCCATTTGCATTTCTAGCCTAGTTTCTGAGTTCTGCACTGGAGCACTGTCAGCACAGCATGTCATAACTGGAATGTCAAAGTACATTCCTGGAAACAGAGCCTGGATGGGACTTGCCCCAACGGCCAGAATCCTTGTTCTTCACACTAGCGACTCATAATTACACGTCACTAACAATCTGCAGCATTTTGTCACCATATAGATGATCTGTGGATGTTCTCCTGACTAGTTTGAGCCTTCAGAGCTCTTGAAGGTGGAGACCACTTCCTGCTCATCTGATTCCCTCAAAGACCGTTCCCCTTCCCCCCATGCCTTGCACAAAGAGCCCTACCAAGGCTGAATGAAACCTTTGCCCAGTGTTTCTACCTTCACCAAAAGTCTAACCCTTGGCTCCCAGAGGCCCCATCGACAGTACAATGGCCCAGTGTACTTCTCTCTTGCTGCCACCAGGGCCTAGAGCTGACACTCAGGCATGCCAGCCCCCTCCCTACAGCTCTGGCCACTGCTTCTGTGGCTTGGCACCATCATACTCGCCTGGCTCCAGGACCCTGGCAGTTTCATGAAACCCTGCCATCTACCGGGATGAGGGGACAGGAGGCCCTAGCCGCAGGTCATACTAAGAACCCATATTATTCCAGGCTCTTCTCTGCCCTGGGAAGGGCCTCCTGGGACTGAACTTTCCATCACTCCAACACCAAGGGCATCTCTCCTGTGTCATCTGGCATTCACAGACAGGGACAGTCTTGGAGGGGCAGGTCCTGCTTGCTGGGTGCTGGGACTTTCCTTGGTCCAGCAGAACTGTGCTATGGACAGGGTAGGTCTTGGGACTAGGGGAGTGGCACTGTTTCCCCTCCATGCTGCTACAAATGCCCTGGCAGACCCTGTGACAGTGACCTGGGACCATTTCCTAACAAGTGGATCTCTCTGTGTTTCACCTCCCTTCTCCACTGGCAGATCCATCCTCCCTGGGACACACAGGGTCCTGTGCAGGTTCCCAGGGGCCACCTCTAACTCACCCCTGTCTCACTCAACAGGGCATATCCAACTTTAGTGAACAAGTGACAGACAATCTCAAATACTATCTGAACAACACTCACAGTTTAAGACACTTGGCACTTAGCCTTGCTATCTAAGCTGAGCAAAACAATTTGTCCTGTGCTGGGGCACAACAGAAGAAAGGAAGAAAATACAGCGCATGGAGATGTTCAGGAAATAGTTATTGACTGTGGTGTGGGAGCCATGTGCTGGTCTAGAGGCAGGCATCTGTGGTGGGAATTTTGGGGGGTTTTGGTACTGGAGTTTGAATTCAGGGCCTCACACTGGCTAGACAAGAACTCTACCACTTGAGCCACTCCCTCAGCCCTTTTGCTTTGGTTTTTTTAGATAGGGTCTCATGCTAACTTTGCTTGGGCTGGCCTAAGTCAATAATCCTCTTACTTAGCCTTTTGAATAGCTGGGGTTACAGACATGCACCACTATGCCCAGCCTGTTTGAGGAATTTTGCACGAAAGTTTAGTTGAGCTGAAATTTAAGGGGCAACTAAAACATAAGTGTCCATTTCCACTCCACCCCCCCCCTTTTTTTTTTGAGGTGCTAGGGATCAAACCCAGGGCCTTGTGTACTGTGTACTTTGTAGAGCTACATCCCCAGCCTCCCTTTTCTTACTTGTTTTTCATTACTGAGTGCTCATCGTTTGCTTTATGGAGTGGACACAGTTCAAATCCCACTCAAACCACCCAATTCCAAAAGGCAGTTTTAAAATCTGCTTTGGCTTTGTAGTGAGTATTATTTACCATATGTAGAGAATTAGTTAAGATTTAGAAGTAATTTACTGTACCAAGAGTTGTCTTATAACAGCACTTCAGAAAAGCCAATTCTGAAGTCCTTAGTGTTATCTGAAACCATACATGTTTCGTGAACAAGTCTTGGTTAGTTTAATGGCCTAAAGCAAACCCAATATTAACACCAAATTGGCCCTGGAGATTTGGGGCAAGAAAATCCTAGAAAGAGAAAGAAATCTCTGTAAGAGATGTTTGTATTACATAAAATAAATTGGTAAACTCTCTTCAGTGAAAGGGATTAATAGAGGGATAGGATAGCTACTGACAGAACCATCTGCAAAAGGCATGGGACCATGAAAGCAGTGTCTCTGCTCGGCACTTTTGGCTCTTTGACTATTTCATACACAAATTCACTTTTGGGAATTTCCTTTTTACAATAAATCTCCTTTTATTTTCATGAAGTGGGAGCCTAGAAATTGCTTCAAGTTTCTTTACTGATTATTGAGTTTTGTGATGCTCTCAATAGTATTATTAGTACTACCATTCCTGTGAATTGAAGCAGTAATGATTATCCTATCAGCAATATTCCAGGAATCTTCTTGTTGTACCAGAAATCTCCTACATGATGTCTTATATTTCCGGGTTGCAGGTGTGCCTGTGCCTGCAGTTCTCCTGAAATCTT